CCCCCCCTAAAAAAAGAACCTGGGATAAATAAAGTGCATTTTTAAAAAAAATAAGTTTTGTTTGTTTGGGTTTTTTCTTTTTTCAGTGTGAACAACTTCGGCCTGGGAGAGAGAATGTGCCCAGCCTCTGACTTCGCCGAGTCGCGCTTTTTCTTGTATGTGACCACTCTGCTGCAGAAATTTGACCTTGACCCTCCCACCAAGCGCGAGCAGCTTCCTTCATGCGACCCTCGCACCTACTGCCCGGGGACTATCCTGCAGCCCCGGGTCTTTTCAACCAAAATTACAAAGCGCGTGAACTGAGAGTCGGACACTTTTGGCTTGAGCTCAGTAAGAATACAAATATTAATTATATACATGTTAAAACCAACCAACAAACAACAGAGTAAAAACACGTACGTTGTTTGGACAAAAGAGACACGAAATGAAGTAATGGTGTATATCGACACCCCCATCCCCCCTCTTGATTTTATTCATCTTTAGTTACTTTTTGACATGTTAATCTTCCCCCTTTTTATTGTCATTTTAATTATATAAGATATGCTTATATTCTTATATTATATTTCTTCTACATTTAATCCAACACCTGAAAGTAGCTTCAAAAGCCTCAAACACTTCTATTTTGAAGAGCTCGACGGTATAATACTATAGATATTAATAATCTAGAAAAGCAGATTTTTCTAATGTTGTATTTAGTACACGAAAGAAGCCGTGACTATTCCACATTTTCCAGAAAAGGCGGTTAGAAAAGGCTATTATGATTACTGTGTACTACATTTATGTTCCAGGTTACAAAGTACAGGGACTTACTTATAGAAAGTAATCATTATATATAGCATATAGCTATATACAGTTTCTTCATCATTTAAAAGCGCACGATACATAGTATTAAAATCCTAGCTCCGGTTAAATATTTAATCTACATGTACAATGGTTTATATCTTGTTTATGTCTATATGATATATTATAAAATATATATATATATAGAGAGAGAGAGAGAGAGCGAGAGAGAGAATATATGTGTACACCGGTAGGCTATATATTTATATATATATTTATATATATATATATATAAAGGTAGAGTCTAGGGGGACCAGGATTTTGGTGCACAGTGATTAATAGTTGTTGTTTTTTATTCAAAATATGTGTGGATTATCTGTAGTCCAGTGCGAGGCACACAATAAAGTTTAGGTAGCACCATCACTAAAACGACAATGCTTGTGTTTGTAGGGGCACCCTGGCACTAAAAACAATGGGAATTTCACTGCACAAGATATGGAGGAGGAGGCTCAGTTCAAACCATGGAGCCTTCCATAATTGGATTAAGTCACAAGCAATGAAAAAATGAAGCACTGCAAATGAATGCCATTATGGTATAATGTAAAAGGAAAAGGAAAGTCAAGGAGCAAAGCAGATGAGAATCCCCTAAAAACGTTCGATTTCCACAAAAACAAAAAAATCTAAATATTTTTCTGATTTAAAAAGAAGTGTTTATTGGAAAATAAAAACATGTAATGATATTGATGCAACTAGGACTGCGCAATGTTTAAGAATACATTGCCATATAGATCTACGAGTAGTTACCAGATGAAAAATATTGGCCCTGTTGTCAGTTATTCTTTTGAGAGATTCGCAAACTTCAAAATACTGTCCAACGGACACCGATGCGACCATCTCCGCCATTTTGGAAAAACGAAAGGGGACAGCAATCGGAAACGGGAGGAAATGACTTGTGAGGTCACGCATGCGCAAAGCAAAATATTTCCATGGTCCCCCCCTAGACTGGGTGTCTCCGTTGGCAAGGATCCTGGTCTCGGGAGACACTTAGATACAGGTGTATGTGTATGTGTGTGTGTGTGTGTGTGTGTGTGTGTGTGGTGTTGTTGTTGTTGTTCTTGTTGTTGTAGTTGTTGTTGTTGCTTTTTTGTGTGTGTTTTTTTTTAAAGAATGGAACATTTCGACTCAAATATTCCAAAAACACAACCAATTTACTTGATAACATTATAGCTTGGATTTGAACGTCAAAGATTCCGGACGCTCTTGTCATGCTCATCATAGCTCTACTCATAACTATTATGTGTATTTTTTCTTACTGTTCTGAAAGATTTTACTATTTGAGGTGTGGTGTTTTCCTCTGTAGTACTGTATCTACTTTTCCTCACAGTAAACAAAAACATGTCATGGTGCAAACACATACTTCACTTCGAGATCAAGTTGCCCTCGGCATGTCTTAGTAGATTTCATATTTTTGCGAATAAAGTTGCTCTTCAAAATGTTTGCTCTAATGTTTTACTAATGTATCGATATCTTATTTCATTTTGTATTCAAATAAACTGCTCGTTCCTGGATACTTGGATACCTTTAGGTGTCAACTCTGGTTCAAGGGGTTAAGGGGGGGGGGATGCTCTCGTGGTCGAGAGGTTACAGTGTTCGCGTCACATTCAATAGGTCTTGGATTCGAATCCGGACAACAAGGAAAATTTCTTTTCTATAAGTTTCTCCTTTCACCTCCTGTCCTGCTCTCAAACAATGTTCTGTCTTCTGCTTTCGTCTCCACTTTCTGCCCCCAACCCCCTCCCCTCCGTTGCTCCCTCCTCTAGGCTCCTGACTCTTTCTGCAGACTTTCCACTGCTTCTCCTTGGGTCCTTTTTACCGATGTCTTTCAGCCACACCTCTGATCTTATGATAGGTAAGATCGAACGCCTAGCTTTCTCGGACAAGGCCGAAAATTCTCGGAGATCCTGTGTGCAAGTTGCACTCGTTAAAGATCCCTTGGTGGTCTTAAAACGATCGGATTAGGCTTCGGCCGTCACCAAAGCAAGATTAAAAATTGTGTACAAATTCAAACATGTGTCCTGAGCGCCCATATGACCTTATGCAGTTGCGGGCGCCGTAAAACGCTTGCCAAGTTTTTTTTTCTCTGATGAAAAGCCAGTGTTTGTGGTGGTTAGCTGTCGTTTTACAATCTGCCATACTTAGGCATGTCAGTGTCTTCATGTTATCCGTTATTTCGCCCCTCGTCTTGCCTTTGGATATTTCCTGGGCCGACCATAGGGTAAAGCAAGCTCTCCCACCAACAGGGGCAGCAACTCTATAGCTGGTAACATGGCATTCACTAGCCACATTCTCACTGATGAATGGTTAGCGTTGATTCATAGGCTACACTTACATTGCCCTTTCTCCCCCACCTCTCTTTCACTTCGATTCGTTTTCTAAGGATCGACGTATCAAGGCTCATGTCTCACAAGAAAATACATTAAAAAAGGAAAAGAAAAAGAAAATCGGGAAACTCCACAATGTTGAGCTCGCATTTAAAATAACCAATTTGCGACAAGTGGGTAAAATTAAGATAGAGTTAAAAGGAACTGTACTGGCTTAGACACAAAGTAAGTCATTTCAAAGATTAAACACAAAATGTTATGTCTTAACGATACTCCAGACTGAGAATAGAGGTAATTTTCCGGCATATGATGAAGAGAAACTTCCAAACATAGCTCATTATAATTGATTTCATATTGACAGGGATAGTTACGGATAGCGAAAGTCTGTCCCTATAAACAAAGAATAAGATTTATATTGAGCTTTGGTATTAGTACCAGTTCGGTGACTACAGTTGTGTAATGAAGCAAAAATGAAAATAAAACAAAAAGCAAATGTAACAACGCCAAAATGTCCCCTGGCCTTCCTTTTTCCCCAACAATAAAATTAAAATCCTTAAAAAGCCACCCCCACGTTGTGGGCCTTGATTGGAGCTAGACCTTGTCTGTATCCAAAGACAATCATCTGTTTATGATGGACCAACTATTATTATTTTTATTTTATTATATATCTATATATACATATATTAGTAGGCCTAAAGACATTGAAGTTTTTAATGAAGCAACTCAAAAACAATATGTCTCTCAAGAATTGGAGACCGATGTTTGTGTTTTAATTTATTGTAATAGCATTTGAAATGTTCTAAAATCTTATACAGGGTTGTAAAAAAGAAGGCATCAAAATCGTCCTGCAATATTTCAAAAATGAAAAACAATAGAAAACTGTAGCTTGGACACATGTGTCCTTCATACTTTCAAATGTTAGTAAAAGTTTTTTAAAGTTCTCATGTGGCCGCCATCAAGCCGCTCTGAGAATTCCTCCCAAGCTCGCCTCAGGATGTCCCGGTCCACCTTGTTGATTGTTGTAGCTGTTATTCGAGTGTTCATGTCATCGATATTTGCTGGAAGTGATGGAACATAAATTTTTGTCTTTAATATAACCCCCACAAGAAAAAGTCACACATAGTGAGGTCCGGGAATCTGGCAGGCCCAGCACGGAAAGCGAGGTCTTTAGCACCTCTCCTACCAATCCACCTCTGAGATGCCATTGGGGCGGTGCTCCATCTTATTGAAAAAGGAAGTCATTCGAATTTGCTTGCATATAGTGAAAAGCCACCTTTTGTGACTTCTCAAATATCGATGACGTAAAAGATCGAATAACAGCCACACTCAACACGGTGGACTGAGGCATCCTGAAGCGCGTTTGGGAAGAATTCTCATATCAGCTTGATGCTGTCCGTGCTGCCGGTGGTGGCGGCCACATTGAGAACTTATAAAACATGAAGGAAAAACTTAAAGGTATGTACAACACATGTTTCCTAGTTACAGTTTTCTTCTTTCTTCCGTTTTCTTAAAAACAGAATCGCCTGATCATTTTGGCGTATTCTTTTTTAATCACCCTGTATAATACCTTTAAGTCTTTTGGATGGTTATCGGAATAATAAAATTTTTGCCTAAAAGGCGTCCTAATAGTGCACAAAAGTCAGTGCCAAAAAAAAATGGACCAAACCATGGCAAAATTTCAAGATCGAAAGTTTTTAAAATATTAATGTAATAGCACTTGAAATTGGCTAAATTTGATATATAATACAAGTACATCTGTTAGATGGCTATCGAAATAATAACATTTTTGTCTAAAATCCGTCCTTATTTAGGCACAAAAATCAATGCCAAAAAAATGGACCACTATCAAGGCAAAATTTTGATCACAAAAATGTTCATAACTTTTGAACGAATAAAGATATGTACACAATTCTAAAAGCATGATTATCTGAAGGGCAGGACACTTTTTATACCTATTTTGTAAATGTCCAAGCGATTTGTGATTTCACTGAACTGCCTGCTCAAGGTCCACAACATAGGGGTAACTTTTATATAATTATAATTATAAGGATTTTGTTTTTATTATAATTATTGGGGAGAAAAAAGGAAGGGGATATTTTGGTGCTGCGTTTGTTTTTTTTCCATAACTGTACGACCGTACTAGATCTAATACTAATACCAAACCTCAATACAAATCTTTTTCTTTGTCCATAGAACTGTTCTCTGTCTAAGCGTGCTTGTTGAATTCCATTATATTGAATCAACAGGTGGTGGGATCACTAGAATATCTCTTTGAGCAAACAAAA